GCAGTAATCCCCCCTCGCCCAAAAGGCAGACTCAGTCCGGTTCTTTTGTCTTCTTGATTGCCGTCTATTGTTTGTGTGGTTGTTGCCTTTGTTGGGTTTTCCTGTTGTGCATAAAGCCAGGAGTTCTTAATTGCGCGCTGATCGCTGCGCTTCCGAGCCACTGCGCTTCCCTTTGTCTGCAGCGCTCGAAGGAAGCTGGTGGTGATACAATGTATCCGCTCTCGGCCAGAGTTAATTGCCGCCACCTGTTGCCCATTAACTTGCGGTTTGGCTAACTTCCCCTTTTTTGCTGCCTGCGCCGGTGAAATTGACTAGGTGAAACTGAGCAGCGGCATTTGCTGTGCCGTGCCGGCTGAATCTGACACTAAAGATATAGTCATTTTTGTTTTGAAACAAATATATGAGATATAACATATATGCCTATAAATTATACCTATAAATCAAGACTTTTAATTTTCAGCCTGCAGATAATTTTCAAGATGAAGCAATATTTATACTTTATCTATCAATTGATTTTAATGTTCTGTCATTTCTATCCTAGCAGTTACCAAAAGAAAAAAAAACTTTCTTATTCCATAGTAAGTATTATCTTCATCAAAAGTAAAGAGTAAAAGCAAATTTTCAGCAAGTAGAATATCATATTATCTGATAATCTCTAAAGTCCCCTACTGGATTTGTAATCAACTGAATCAAATGTGGATCAATATCTTTTATGTTCCACATCCTCTCCAACATTTAAGAATAGAGAACAGAACATATGGTCATTCATTTCCAGTAAATGAAAACCTCATTGTTATCAGGCAACATGCACGGCTCATGGTTGATTCCTCTGTAGTGACACTATTCCATATGCAGGATATTTGAACAGTTGAAGTAGAATTTTAGTTTTTAGCAAATACATGTAATTAATGTATCTACAGTCTATAAAAAAGGCAGTATTTTCATAAACAAGTAATGTTTAAGTAATCCCAGCAAAGGTTAGATATTTTCTAAGTACTAATTTAGTTAGTTGCAACTGCACAATTTCTTTCATTCATTTGTTCACTGAATGTACAGTATGGTGAAAAATCAAAGAAAACACATATTCTATAGAAAACAATAAATCTCCTTAATAATTTAAGGAACTGGAAATGGTAGCAAACAACCACCACCACCACCACCTTAGAGGGCTAATATAAATAACCAAACCATACTCATCTAAGTATGATTCAAACCCAGCACCTTCTGAGAGTATTTGCAACTGAGCACAATTTATCAACTTTCATAGAAACGCTGATAAACCGATCTGCTAGCAGAAAGTGCATGACCTCTATTTCAGGCCAACCTGTGCAAAGACAGGGGCTCTGAATATGAGAAGTTACTGAAAATCCCTTTCAACACCTCTGAGAATATGGCATTAAATTTTGCTAGTATTGACACTTTACTACATGAGGTGGAGAGTATGTTAAAAAAAATATAATGGCAAATAGTCTACAGTATTGCAGAGGACCCCTAGTTGGAAGCTTTGGAACTACAGTATCATTCTAACTCTTTCTGTGACTTCCAACATAACTTTCTCTGGTCCAAGTGTTAACAGAGACTGGATTAAGAGTCTGCAACAGGAGAAATTTCAGTGAGAATTAGATCAGGGACTCACAGCAGAACACTTGCTTCATCCTCTACATCCAATGTCAAATTCTCATGTGAGTCTCCACAGAAGCCCAACCAGTACCAGCCAAAGAAATATGTTCAGTAGAGTGAAAATACATTCAGTACAAAGTGAAAATATGTTCAGTACAGAGTGAATTATTTCTAAACCATTATATCTGTAGATAAGCAAAACTATGCACACATTGCTTAGCACCTTGGCTAAAAATGTGCAACTGCTGCAACTAATGAATCTAATTATAGTATTAGAGGCCTTTTCAGCATACATTGTATCCTCTCAAATTTGTGGTTTATAACAGATGGAAAATTAAAAGTGGATTCCTAAATATCTGAAACCCTTCTGCTTTATAATGGAATAGTATGAGCAGCCTGTTCACTGTGAACCAGCAAAGCCCTTCTGGGATACTCCTTTATACAATGAATAAAAGAACAAATTGAAGCAAAACAAAGGCAAAGGATGGAATAATGTCATTGCAAAGATGTAATTGTTATTGGTTTTCTTCCCCAACCAGCAATTCAAGGTGATGTTATCACCTATAAAGCTCTACAAGGCACAGGACTGGGTTATTTGCAGGATGGGCCCTCACAATGATATCTCCCAGTCTCATTCACTATATTGGATAGGCACACTTTGGGTCCCTGCCCTGAAACAATGCCACCCAAAGGAACCCAGGAAGCATGCTTTTTCCATGGCAGTCTCTGCCCTGTGAAATGATCTACCCACCCTCTTCCAATGTTGAAAGCCTTCAGAAAGCCTTTAATAACCTGACTATTTCCCCAGATATTGGGGCTGGGATGAACATGATTGTTTGCCTTTTCATTAAAAAATGTTCTTATTTTCTTGGCTGTTGTAGGTCACCCAGAGCTGCAGTGTACAAGCTGGGCAGCCATATAAATTATTTAAATAAACAAACAAAACAGAACAAGTTCATATACTGTCTCAATTCTGTACACTAATAGTGACTAAAATCCAAAATTAGGTTTATTCATGTGGAGTACACACCTCTGAATGAAGTGTTGCTTATTAACTCATTCCGTAGAAGACATGCTAAAGATTAGAAGATGGATAGTCTCGAAGTAATAGGCCCTAGGCTAAGAGCGCATCGATTTAAATAGATGGAAGCTACATTTGTTATGTACTGTGACTCCTGATCTCCCAAACTTCAGAAGAAAATTTCAGGAGGAAAGGAAATATGGCTTGCAATAGGGAAGATGGGATGGGAATTTTCCTTCCCTGAATACTGGCTTGGAAGCAACTGTGTTTATTTCCATTCTTCCAGACTTCAGATCTGGATGAAAGGACAACATAAAAAAGAAGAGGGCTATATTCAGTAACCACTGAATTTATTAAACAGAAGACAGAATAAATGACAGAACTCTAAAAAAAAAAAAAAATTCATATGCACCGATAGTCAAAATCAACAAAAGACCAAAAACATTTTTGCATAATGTGGATTGATTTCAGTTTTGCATTTAACAACACTCTCGGTCAGCACAGTGAATGGAGAGAACACAGTTATGTTAAACATGGATCAAGATGCAAATGAGCACAGATTGTAAACCAACAGATGTGCTGAAATCCAAAGAATCCAATTCCAACTGAGATGGTATTCCAGAGCGAACAGCTGGTTTCTGAACTCTGACTTTTGTGGAGCAATAAGCAGTGTACAACTGAAAACCTTCAGGATAGTTGTTGTTTTAAAAAGCTCTCTAAAGTTAAGAAATAAAAATCTCAGCTGATATTTTTAGCGGAACTGTCAAACAGAAAGATGTAACAAAAATCAATAAATAAAAAATTACATTCTTCAACATTAAATGTTCCTTGTACATCCAGTTCCTGTTTATCTTCACTGCTTATGTATAAAATAGTGAATGTTCTGAAATAATATTTCATATCAGGACATCTCAAAGATTTTCACTGAAATCCTTTATAATGCAAACCTGCTTCTCCTAAAAATTATACATTCAATGAGTATTTTTCACTGTTTTCTGTAATGATCTATTAAGGTTGGAATGCTGGCCAGTCTTCCAAAAAGTTAAAGTAATTAACTCCGACACTGCTGAAGAAAGACCTCAAGATAGTGAATGGAAAATAGTGCCCACCAACTCATGTTTAAAGGTTTATGCTGCAAACTTAAACGTTTTGCAACTTTTTCCTGCACAAAAAAATTGGAATGCTTATGCTTTATCTGAAACAGAAGTCAGTTTCTTTGTTTCTCATTAAATGCTAGACTAAATGAAAAGCATATGACTTTGCTAAAGCCTTTATTGCATGAAACTGCAGTTGCTTTAGTAAATGCTTTCGACAATGAGCAACTAGATTAACATATCTTAAACTGGATTTGTTCCATATCGTAGCAGAACAATACTGATTTATCATGTAACATTTTACACATAAGCCTGCATGCTGACACAGCTCTCTTTACCCGACACTGCATCTAAAGTCTATCTATCTTTGAAGCTGCATCATTTCAGTTTCTTGAAAATAATCCATAACTCTACTCTTCTCTGGCCATTTGGAATTAATGCACAGAGAACTATATTGCAAACAGACACACAAGAGATCTCAATCAGCAAAACGGTAGGTGTTGTTTTCCAATAAATTATCTCAATGTATACCAAATGGTTACAGGTTACTGTAAAAGTATTTTGATCGCATAATACGTTATCTGGAAACTGTAATCAGTATACCGTTCTTGAACTGTGTGTGCTTTATATTTAAAATATGCATTTTTTATTCATTTTATATACATTTCAATTCCTACTTTCCTGGAAAACGTAGATCTTTAAGAGAATTCAAAATATTATTTTCACTCCAGGGCTGGGTTTAGCTTGGCTCTACTTTTTAACTATTTCTTCACTGTATGTATCAGATCGCAAAATATGGGGTTTCAATTACCTCTAATCAGCATGCAAACTCACCAAGTATCTGAATCTGAAACAATATCAAGTATATATTTTTTTGTTATACTGTACAGTATCAATTTTTTAAACAATAGAAGGATTTAAATGAAGAATACTAAGAGTTAAATCATCTTTCTACATTCCCTGAGCATTAGAAAATTGCTGCCAGCTACTCTTCTAGGGCTTTAAATATTGTTCTGACAGATTGCTTTTCTTGTTTCCAGTTACAAAGAATCATTCTCCTTAGTTCTTTCAACAAAACTCAAGTCTGATCTCCTGAAATGAAGACTTCACAGAAATTTTATCTCTTCTGTTTTTTTATGCCCTTGGTGAAGTTAGCACCACCTAATCAACAACACTCAGCACTTTTTCATGAAATATTCCAGCAAGGTTATGAAGATGCATTATTTCAGGAAGATTATGAAGACAATCCACAGGACGGGGTAAAAAATAAGGTAGTTTACAAGTTCTATATTCCTTTTTCCACTCTGCCAGTGTATGAGTTAGCCAAGTATGCATGTTTCATGGCTAAATATAATAAAAAAAGAAAAAAGTAATGCAGGGAGATGCAAAAATAAGAGCATAATACATATATACTATTGTTTTATTTTATATGCTTTATTCCTTTATCCTTTACCCTAATCCAAACCCTATGCTTGTAGAAATATGTAATATGGCCATGAGCTCAGCTTAAATTTGTCTCAATCCACTATAATTATTGCTTTGTTCCTAACATACACAGTTATAATGGTATGTGTCACTGCAAGGAATGATCAATGTTCACTTGTACACCAAACATTCAGTTTGGTCTCCTGAGAGTCATAATTGACTTACCTGGGAGACCTGCTGCTATTAACTAATTTTTTGGCCTCAGAAAGTCATAGACTAATTCCCCAACCACATATAGGAAATATATTTAATAATGAACTACTTTATGTGAGGCAAATTAAAATAAATGCATAGTAGGTATATTACATGAATAACATACTGCTGCAATGTGATCTTCACTTATTCAGACTGAAACAGAATATTGTACTGTTCGCAAGCTGCATTAACTCAACTGCCTTTGGATAAGAATAAATAGACTAGTTAACACTGAATTAACCACACAATAGTCTAATCCTAACCAACAGGATTATGTTATCTACCCATTCACAATACACCCAGGTGGAATTCTACAGTGTAATGAGCCCATATAATGATGCTGAGCCAATACCAAGAAGAAATAATAGATAGAATTTATACTGTGTGGCAGAACATGTTCATTTGAAACACATAACAATAAGAAAATGATATATATTTGCAACAGCATTTTCAAATTAATTTTCTGAAGAGAAAGCAGTTTAATGATTATATATACCCAAATAGCTTTTACTGTTCATTCCTTGAGAATACCTATTTGCTATCATTAATCTAAAAAAGTAAAAACATTAATAAATCACTGCCATAGCTTTTCACAGTAATACAACTCTTTTTTGGTGGGGGGGGAGGTGCCTTCAAGTCAGTGCTGACTCCTGGCGACTCCCTGGACTAGTCCCTGCAGTTTTCTTGGCAAGATTTTCAGAAGTGGTTTGCCACTGCCTCCTTCCTAGGGCTCAGAGTGACTGGCCGAAGGTCACCCAGCTGGCTTTGTGCCTGAAGTGGGACTAGAACTCAAGATCTCCCAGATTCTAGCCAGGTGCCTTAACCACTACACCAGAGTGGCTCTGTTACAATTTTACAGCTCTAATAATTACTCTGACCTACGAGAGCATATATTGTGTGCTTTCACAAGATGCCTGCCATGATAAACATGCCCAATTCCAAAATCCGTTTTGGCAAGCTTATGAGGTTGCTTCTTGCCATTCCAGCTTATCTTTAGTTCTTCTGAGAAACAGGGCCACATTTTCAAACCAAACACTGTATTGTAGTCACCCACCATTTTTATTTTCTAAGAATGTCTATGGAGTCCATAGGTAAGATTAAACATAAAGATGAGGCTAGAGACTCATTGGCAAAATGGCTTTTCTATTAAATGAACAAAAATGATACCTGAAGCAAACCAAAAGCTTACTGAATTCATCATTCTTTTATCAGAATGCTTGTGGAGAAGCCCATAAACAAAACTGGGATACAGTAAACCCTATGGTTTAGCGGACTTTGAATTTAATGGACAAAAGTTTTGACCAAATCCAGACAATAATGGACTGTACTCCAGACAACAGACAAAATCTGTTTAGCATATCAGTACCCTTCCTCTCAAAAGGGAAGTTCACAGTTGAACAAGATATAGTGGGTTCATGGGATCTGATTCAATTTACAGCACACAATTCATTTTTTTGTGATTTTCTTTTCTTTTCTTAGTAACATCAAAGTTAAGCATTTATTTTCCATGCCTGGAAAATAACTTAGGCACTATAATTGCATCCCCCATCCCCCTTTGAAAAGCAACAGGAAAAGACATTGAACAAGCTTGACTTACTACATCTAGCTAAAATTAAGTTAATTCTCTTTCTACTGAATACGTATGCAAATTACAATGTTGCCTCTAGGTATATGTATGAACGATTATTTCCACACACTTTATTCTTTTTCCTACATAAGAGTTAACTAAGGGACAATCATGCTGACTAGCTTTATGTCTCACTTAGGCCGATGAACTGACGGGCAGTTTGACCAAAGCTTTAGTTGCGGCCTGGGATAGGCATCTTGGATTGGATTGCTCCTTTGTGGCCTCTCACTGTACGTCAATTCCAAGGTGCACCTTGGTTTTCCAAGGAGCTCCAGGAGATGAAACGTCAGGAGAGTTGCCTCAAGTGCAAGTAAGAGGCCCTATTAGGGATTATATAATGGAGGTAAGGGCAGCCAAAGACACTTAATTTTCCCCTCCTAGCACGTCTGCAGATGGCCATCTGGCAACCCTGTTTAAGATGATTCATTCAGTGCTGAGGAATGAGCTTCAGGACTATCTGCAGGGCTGCAGTGAGGAATATTCTAGCTACCTGAGGGATAAAATCACTTGGATTCATTCAAAGTTGGACTCTGACTGGGCAAGACCTGTTGAAGTGCATTTGGCAGTCTTGTGGGTTTAGACCGGATGACTTTGAGCCTGTGACTGTTGGGATGGTGACCCCACTCACCTGTTTATTAGATCTTTATTCCTCCTGGCATGTGAAAGTGCTTGGGAGGTGACCTGTGATTGATTCTATGTGGTAGTGTCATCCTCCTTGAGGAAGAGGGTTTCCTGCCAGCCTTGAATAGGTAATGTGCACCTCATACTCAAGAAGTCATAATTGGATCCAACATTTCTGGACAAATTTTGCCCAGGCTCGAACCTTTCCTTTCTAGTGGTTGGACTGAGACTCCAGAAGGTCCTGGAGGAAACAGATTATTTGGACTCTTTTCACTTAGACTGGAGCATAGTAAAGAGACAGCATTGATTGTGCTTGTGCATTACTTCTGGGATGGAGGTGGTGTCATCTGTAAATCTGATGAGCAACACTTGTCTAAGTAATTTATGAAAATGCTGAAGAGCACTGAGCCCAGGACAGAATGCTAAGATACTCCACTGCATACCTCCCTCCATTTAATTGTTCAAGCTCCAATTTAATTGATATGCTTACAGAGTATGGTTCCTAGCATGTGTTTTTAAAGATTCTTTTCTTCTTTTTCTAAATTCTACAGTGTGATTCTCTCATTTCCCCCCC